AACAACCCTATAGACAGAATGGGCGGCGTGGGCTTATGGGTGATTCATAATAGCACATTTTCTAGTTCCTGCTGCCCTTCTTTTGAATCCTGTTGAGTAAAAAGACTCATACAGGTGGCACTGAGAACTCTTGTAGTGCTGCGAAGTGGTGCAAATGAGGTACTTCACTGACAGCAATTCCACAAGGTCTTCATGAGGTTCTCTGTGCAAGCTTCGCTGAGTACAGTTTGGCGCCCCCACCAAACCCAAGTGTTTTAGCCGACCTGATGCAATAAAGGAGGTACCCCCTCCGTCCCCTAAATTAGCGTTTTACGTAGAACAAGAAGTTAGGCTCCGATGCCTTAAGTAACTATGGAAATAGTTGCCTTTTTGAAGCTCCATTCCGAAGTAGGGCTGCTTTTGCTGGTACTGGGTAGTCCGTATGATGTCACGCCACGCTTGCACTCACGTCACGTCAAAGGCTTAAGGCGGCGACGAGTTTCCGGCAGGTTCAACTCACTCCGCACTAGATAGAACGTTCAGACCCGAGTTTCGCTTGTTCAACATGTGCGCTATTCTGAATCACACGCACACAGCAGATATTAGTAATTAGATAGATAGCTGCTAGCATCTCCCGATAAAAGAACAAATAGCAACAAGTACACGGAAAGAAGACTTACGTTTCGCATGCAAGCGGATTGTAGGCTGGGGCGTACGAAGTGCTCACCTTCGCTGAAACTGTAATTTTCAAATTTTGAAACAAGGAAGTAGCCATAGCAAAATGAGCCCGAAAATCTGGCAGAGGTTGAGTGTGGCTGTGTGCTTAGGCGATCCTTCTGGTACAATGGAGTGGAGTTACGCCGAATTCATGTGAACGAACTTCTGAATATCTCGACTCCTGGATGCTAAGTGCACAACCAGCGACAGCGGGCTCGGATGTACCACTAAGCATTCTTGCTGACCCTCTTTTCTCTCCATCATGGTGGGAAAAAGAAGCGCACCAATGAGGAAGGCAGATTGGTAGGCCTTATCCCGCCTCAACAAACACGGTGAGCTGTTTCACAAATACACCTTGATTCTCATAAAAATCTCATCGACACAAGGTTTGCTCTGGGAAACTTGTGCTCCTTATGGTTAGTGGGATGGAGGATGTGCCGCGCGTGGGGCTAACCTTCAATTTCACATCAGCAGCTGGTACATAGTACGTAGGGTAGGATGCGATTCTGATGGCTGGAAGGATGGTTAGCCTACCTTTAATTTGAAATTCAAAACAATGATAAGTAGTATTACCGCGCTGTATTCTTTCTCGAAATAACAGGATACCTCACAGTAACAGAAACTGGCAGGCTAGTTTCTGCGACGCACATATTGCCAACAAATCAACTGCGACAAGTGATCCGCAAAAAATGCCTCATGAATCGTTGGACAACCAAGGTCAACACTCGCAAGTGCAGCACTTCTGAGACACATGAAAAAAAGCGGTCCTGGCCGGCAAGATACATTACTTCTCGGTATTAATGCTTTTGGCAACAGGCAAAGTTACGCAGCTATTACCACGCACGCTGCCTGCAGCTTCAGGACGATCTTATGTACAACTACACAAGTCGTTCGCTTCCTTCTGGATAACTTTTTTCCAAAATAAGCAACACTCCATATCGCAACGCAAGATGTGTGTCTGGCGCTTGCTTTACATCACCAGAGATGCAACTACAAGGTTCGTGCGACTCAACTGTTACGTTAACCCTAATTCTTACATGGAGTTCGCAGATATGTGACACAGAGGCTGCAGGGTGTCGATCAAGTCCAGAGAACTCGTACAAGGTGACTATGTAGTTGTCCAGGAGGGGTCTTTATTCATGACTGCTTGAAGTTTTTTTTTTGCTTTCTCTTTACCGCGGAGTCGCTTGTTGGCTACTGGTTCATAACAGGAAACCCTTTACCCGTAATAGTTGATCGCGAGAATTGTCCCTGAGGGGCTAGTGAAGAAATCTGAAGAAAGCCAGCATATTTCATGTACACCCTGGATAGATCATAAACCCAGACGCCTGAACAGCAGCTTAACATCTGTCAACGATTACCAGAGGCTCACCTGGGTAAGCCAAATTCCTAACCCCTGCCAGTGTTCCGTACATAGAATTAGCACCAGAAAAAAAGACAACTGGCTGACCTCTATTCGACTCAACTGACACCTTACTCGATGCACTTGCTTTCGGACTGTCACTTCCTCCACTGATCAGTGAATTCAACGAATCCGAGCTTTCACAATGAGGGGCAGCTCGTGATGATGACGAAACTGCTGCTGTTGCCGGGGTACGGGTAGACGCAACGCTGGCTGGATTGAGATGGCGGTGTCGTTGGAGTGGTTGCCGATGAGCTTGGAGCACCGTAGGTTGGCAAAAGCTTCGACGATGAAGGAGCAACTGAAAAACGCGATTCAATATATTATTCAGAAGGTTACGAACAAATAGTAAAACGAAGAAATTGACCGGCCAAAATACAGAATGAGGAAGTTCTAAAAAGCCACTACAGTATGACGGAAACCAAGGTATTCAATTCTCCCATCAACACCCATTAGCGCAGACCTTATCCATTAATCATTACCGTTTAGAGCTGATATTCCGTGAAAAGGGAAGGAGTTCAGCATTCATCACTTTCTTTTCTCAATGCGTCACGAATCTACATTCGAGGAAATTAATGCGCGCTTTCCCCGCTTTCCTTTCTTTTTCACTTCACTTTTATCTTCTGACAATATGGCTGTCTGAAGGCATAAGTCACGATGATTCTTTCTCAAGTCTCAAATGGTAGCAGGGTGCTATACAGTGATGAAATGACGAAAAAAACGAAGTGAAACGGGCCAAAAACCTGCGAAGAAAACCTTCAATTCTCTTGTCTCAAAAAAGCAAGACGAGACGCTCGCACGAGTTTCCCGTGGGCATCTTGCCAGTAACGCTACGGTAGATACGGCTGCATGTATGTACTCATACATCCATGCAGCACCGCTGCCGCTTCATATCAATCCTTTCACTTCATACTGTACTTCGCAAATGAAGCGATACGATCACGGTACGGTCGTCCATTTGTGGGCGGCGGGCGCGGTGGGCGTCTGGGTCGGTATGTTGCAGCTTGATAGGGCCTTATAAGGGTACCTTCTTTGGAAAAGGCGCCACGCAGCGCCTGCTCAGGGGCGCCGAATTCTGTCTTGCTGGGCATATTGATCCTACACGTTTTGGGAATTTACTGTGCCAACTGCCTTCAAGGCATGGTACATGGTCTGCGACCTTGCCGAATCAGCGAACCGGCGGAAAGAAATAAATATTAGGTTGTCCGGAAAGTTCTCAGCGTTTTGGGTGTTTCACTTTAAACGATCGTAACTTTTTTAATACTCATCGGATTTAATCGAAATAGGCACCATTCGAATCAGCACACTTTTGCCAATGTGACAGCAGTCGAGAAATCCCATCAAAGTAAAAAACTGGGTGGTCGAAAATTCACGAAATCCACGAAGGCTTTTTTGCCTGGTCCTGTTTGATGAAGTATTTCCCAGCAAGGAAATGAAAATGAAAATGAAAATGTTCTGAAAATGTTTGAAAAGGGAATAGTCGGTTGGCGGAAAGGTCTGGAGAATATGGCGGTTGAGGTAGAACTTCAACCCCCAATTCGTTCAATTTATGGATAGTGATTTGTGAAACGTGTGGGCGGGCGTTGTCATGCAAAAGAATCGGACCCTTTCTTTTGATAAGTGTTGGCTGCATCTGACAAAATTTTCGGTACATTTCGTCGATTTCTTCACAGTAGGGTTCTGCTGTGATGGTTTGGCCTGGTGATAAAAAGTTATAGTGGATCACACCAGCCGATGACCACCAAGCCGTGACCAGAATCTTTTTTCGTGAGGGTTCGGCTTTGAAAATTACCTCGGTGGTTCGTCGAAATCCAACCACTGTCCGGAACGTCTCCTGTTATCATACATGACCCATTTTTCATCACAGGTGACAATTCGGCCAAAAACAGGTCGTTTCTGCTGCGCAAAAGCAATGCAGAAGGAACCTCGAGACGTGCCGATTCCTGCCGGTCACTCCGATTGTGGGGCACCCAATTGTCGAGTTTTTTCACCTTCCCAATGCGTTCCAGACCATCTGCAACAGTGGATTTGCCAACGCCTAGCTTTCTGCTATCTCTCGAACTGTTTGGGATGGGTCAGCCTCCAAAATCCCCCTAAAATCCTCGTCAGATATTGCTTTAGGTCGACCGCTATGAGGTTCATCTTCAAGGCTGAAATCTCCAGAACGAAATTTGTTGAGCCATTGCCGCACAGTGCTTTCTCTAGCACTATTGGGCCCCCACACCTGGTTAATTTGTTGAGCTGTTTCGATTGCGGATTGCCCCAATTTATAGTCGAAGAAAAAAATCGTCCGAAGTGCTCTTTTCACATGCTTGAAAAAATCTTGAAAAAGGGGGTTTATCAAGCAATGGTGAAACGGCAATTATACCATCAGATAGCGCAAGAAATTCTCTACAGGATGTGCTACTGAGAAGCAAGGCAGAATGAGTTTTTAATCAGCAGTGAATGTACAAAAAATAGGTGCACAAAACGCTGAGAACTTTCCGGACAACCTAATACGTATCGATTTGGATTATCGTGGACCGCTGTGTCGCGAACGCGAAAAGAGTCAGACCCGTATTATCTGGTTGATTTCGACCAAGCGAAATATGGTAGTATTAGGTATAGAAGCATGAGAGAGTTTCTCCCGCCGCTTCTTTGACCCTTCCGATTGATATCGAATTGGTCTACCTTTTGTGCCTACCGATGATTGTGAAAACTGTTTGCTGATTTCGCACAGTCCGAGACTGTGACCACATTTCTAAGACAGCACATCTCAGAGCATCGGCCTTACCTTCATTTTGACTTCGGTGTTTATTATGGGATTTCTCACATCCCATAAGAAATCGCAGATACTCTGGGTACATAGGTACTTAGGCAGGGGCGCTTCCCGATAGTTGATGTCGTTGCGGGCCTTTCCCCTGCAGGACGTTTGTAACTGGGCGATATCAGAATGGGTGTAACCCTTAG